ATTTTATTTTATTTACGCCTTCTGTTGAATATCACTTCAGTGATTTCTTGTGAATAATTATCGTCCAGTTTACCCCATTTAACGAGCTATTGTTTTATCTTTTCGTTGGAAGGAGCTTTAATCTGGGAAAAAAAATAATTCATGATGGCTAGAATAACCTTAAAATCTAATCAAGGTTAGATGTAAATAGTTATTTTATTTTTTTTTCCTTTTACTTTATTTCTTTGAACATACTTACTTTCCTTTATTTTTTCTTTGTTTTTTTATGATTTAAATAAATAAATTATTAAACATCTCCTTATAATTTTTTTACTCTATATTTATAATAACAAATCATTATATAAATATATAATATAAATTGAGAAAGGATGTAAATTGTCAAAATTCATTTAATAAAAAATATAAAAAATAACTACTTTTTGTCAATACTATTATTATTAAAAATTAATATTAATACCAATTATTAACCATATCTTTGAATGCCAACTAAAGGTGATCGACTGTACAGATGATAAGTGCGCTCATCAAGCACCACTTGCAGAATGCATGTATGCATATCTATAAAGTCACATGACATTGGATCATGGATTGTGATTTATACGTCATCCCCACTATCGTCTTCGATATCTTCCATATCATCATCTACATTGTCATCGTCCTCATGTTCGCTATCATTTGCTAACGTGATAGGAGGTTTCTATGGTTTAAATAAATAAATAAATATATATAAAAGATGATATTTTAACAAATTTTTAATGTTTTAAACGCGGTAAATGGGTAAAATTATACTCACATCTAAAATAGTTAACTCGCTTGAAAATGGAACGTTATTCCTTCCTTTAAATGAATTACGAAATCCAACATTATTTGACAAATCCCAAATAAATACTTTTCCTTCAGAACCAGCCACAGCTATTTGAAAGGGTGAATCGGGACAAAATTGTGAGGCGAAAACTTTTCCCTATTAAGGAGAGGGGAAAAAATTAATAGAAAGAAAAGAAGACCAAAAGAAACACGTAATATCATAAAATGCATATATATATAATTACCACTCCTAAATCCCGACTCGTAACCATATTCGGTTTCATGTCTTTAACGTCCCAAACCTTAACTAACTTATCCGTCGATCCTGTAACTATACATCCTTGAATAGAAGGACTTACATCAAAGGATGAAACGGCTGAATCATGTGCGTGTAAAGTAAAAACAGGCGCAACTTGATTAGGATTCCTCACATCAAAATATAAAACTAAACCAGCTTCTGTGCTAACGTAAAAGTATTGTGGTGAAAATGGGTCCCATCGAATGCATTCTGGATCTGCATTACCAAGGTTCCAAAATGCAACACTTGTGGGAGCGCGACTATCGAATACGGCAACGCTCTTATCAAAAGAAGCTGTGAGTAAAACCGTCGACTCTATTGGATGCCACTGTACTTGTTGAACCTAATACCAATTCAATTAAAAATTGATAAAATAAAAAAATATATACATAAATAAATCAAAAAATAGAGATATATTTACCTTATCCTTGTGATGAGTAAAAGAGTGCGCACATTTTAAAGATTGAAGGTCCCATAACTTAACGGTGGTATCGGCAGAAGAACTTGCTAATAGATTCCTACGAGAGAAGGAAACAAAGGAATTATTAACGAAAATCGTTTGAACAGAAATACCAATAATTTAATACCTGTGGTGACGATTCCATGATAAGGACATGACGGAATCTGTATGGAATTCGGCGTTAGGTACCTAAAATTCGAGAGATCCGTTTTATTTTATTTTATTTCTTTTTATCAAAAATCAAATTTGCCGAATTTATTTCAAAAGGGAAAATGTTATTACTTTTGACTTTTTCTTCTTCTTTTTTATTCCTTCTTGATTGCCCAATATTGCATCGGGATACATTGAGTCGAGTGTATCAAGATCCCAAATTTCGATTTCTGGATCAAATGTTCCCACAGCAATATAATTCCCACTACCCTCCGTTCCAGCTTTTCTACCTAACCTAAAATCTAACCATTCCAAACATAACGGAAAAGATGGTAACATCATATCATGATGTATGTAGAGATTATCATCAGCTTCTTCATAAATATAGAATTCCAATTGTGAGACATCATCTTCGGTTTTTGCAGCTATCAAAATATTATCGGTTGGAAGAATTCGTAAATCTTCGCTTTCGTCATCCTTTTGTAAAACGCAATTATTTTAATCGATGATTTCTTGGGTAATCAAGCATAGGAATCTTTTATCAGATACCTCATCATTAAGAGTGATATACGGATCCTCCTCATTCGACGCGTAATAGGCCAATCCTTTCATATTTCCGAATATTGATACCGCTAATATATATATAAATTATATCTATAATTTCAAAAATTAAAAGTATGAAGAAAAATTTTCAATTCTTTATAAAAGAAAAACTTACGTTGACCCTGATCGTCCTCATCATTATCATATGTGTCTAAATTATATTCAGCTAATTCGGAGTCAAGGTTTTCATCCTTCTTTTTTATATCTTGACTTTTGTAATAACCGCTTTAATTAATTATCTATAAATTCTCCATAAAAACGATAAAAACGTTAATATAAATACTTTTCAAGGTCCTCCTTTGCTGCTTCTAGTTGCAATGATGCTAGTTGATTTATTCTATCATATTCCTTATCGTCAAGTTCATACTTGTCAGGTATTTCCGCTGCTACACCCTTACGTAACCAATGTAATGCAGAAATCATTTTTTTTTTTTTTTTTTTTTTTTTTTTGAAATAGATCTAAAAAATTTAAAAAAAAATTGATCAAATTTTCACATGATAGAGGATTTGATTTTTGTGCAACCTAGGTCCATAAGACGTTTTTTTTTTTTACTCGCGACGCAAGGACGATGATTTTCTGCGGTGATAAAAACCGTGTGCGGTTAAACAAAATTCTGTGTAATTCTGTGATGGTTAAAATCAATTCGGTGTTTTTATGTATTTAAAAAAAAATATGAATAATAAAAATATTTTGCTTTAAACTCAATTACTTTTATTAAAATATAACATTTAATTTTTTTAATGATTCGCACGAAAGGTTTTGACGATCACTATTATTATGTCCTTTTGAGACAATGTCCATCAACAGTAGATTTTGACTTCAATTCAGCCGAGAAGTCACAAAAGTTGCAAAATAAAATACCTCCATTCTCTCTAAAAACAGGATTTCATTAATATGAGAGTTTATGGAAACTTTTTGCGCGTTGCCAAAATTCGATCTTAAGAATGGAAATATTAAATTCTGTGAAATTATGCGGTGACTAACACAAATAATGTAGTTAGATGCATTTAATGAAAATTCTGAGGCGTTCTGCGAATCACCGTCCCTGTCGCGACATTATTCGAACAAAAATTTCGCTTTATTGATGTGGAAATTTCAAAAAAAAATTTATTTTTTAATTAATTATTATTTTTATTAAGGTTAATTAATGAAAAGTTTTTTTAAGATATAAAAAAATTATTTATTAAATTTTTGGTTTTTTTTTTTGACCGTATACACAATATATAATCAATAAAAAATACCCTTTTTAAAATTCCAATAAAAAAAAATAAAATATTTTGTTATTTAAAAGATTATCGAACTTCAATTGTTCAGAAATACCCAATATACGTAATGTCCTATAGATATACCCAACCAAAGAGAGTAAACAAAAAAATAAAGAAAAAAAGGAAAATGTTACAAAGAGAAAGGGTGTTAAAAAAAGGCTAATGAAAAAGAAGGGAAAAAAAAAGTTAAGATGCAAAATGCAAAGGAAAAAAGAAAAAAGAAAAATGTAAAATATAAAACAATTGTGAAAAAAAGTATTTTGTACAGGAGAGGAAAAAAAGAAAATTAAATATTTTATTTTTTCCTCAAAATTTTCCCTTTTGATATATATAATAAATATAAGGGATAACAATAAGCATGATTTTTTTTTTTTGCAATTCAAAGTCATGATGAAAATCAATAGAAATCATGCATCGACGAAATCGAACTAAAACAGATATGTGTTTTTATCCTTAATATTAATACTTCAACGTTAATTGAAATGTTCCATCTTGATTAAGTTGAACATCGACTTCCATATCCGTTTCATCTTCAAGTTGATGAATCGTGTCATCATCAATACGAACGGTAAGGTTTCGTTTGGTTGACCTAAAAATACCTGAAATCTGCTGACCTTGAAGATCAATTTTTTCAGAGAGCTTATCAGATAATTTTGATGTAAGGTCTTGAACAGTGAGATGGTTCAAGTAAATGGCACGATAAGCAGGTTCTCCCGGTAGCTTAACATAGATACAAAGCACTAGGTAAAACAAATCTACGTTAATGATAAAGATTTCATAAATTTATCTAAAGAAATTTGTTGCATCTATTTACCTGCTCGTCGTTTTCTTAAATGTGGAATGTATGTTGGGTCACAATCTAATGGTTCCAAGAAATCAGGTCCCATCGAAAACCTTCTACGTTTACCCAACGGAAGAGGTATAAGATCACCTCCTTCAACATCTTCAAGGTTATTTAACGATTCAGAAAGGTTCAACACATCATCATCATCGGTTACATCATTGGTGCCCGCCATCTCATTAAATAATGTCACGGGATGTGGGGGCGCATACATCATGATCATGGGTGTCGTCTCCTGTGTTTTACCTCTCATCTTTTCACACATTTTCTCGAGATGTTTCTGATCATCCTTATTTTTACGTTCAGCGCCTTTATCCCTAAATAATTTAATCTTGGCAAACGATTTCTCCAAGATTGAACAAGTGGTACCATTATCACTCTTGGTTTCCACTTGAATTCTTAAAGGAATTCCTTTCACTCCCTTTATCCGTGAAAAATCAGTGGAAAGGCAACTAAATCGGATGAAAAGCTTTGCTCCTTTCTTGCCATTCCAACGAAATTGTATACGATCAAAGGTCTTTGTTTCTACATTACTAAGTCCTGTTGACGCAGCTTTATCTTGTTTAAAATTTATAAAATAAAAATTGGAAGGGGGAAGGGAAAAAGAAATGTAGGGAGAACCAATAAGTAAATCAACACGATTAAAGGTTTTAAAGTAGAGAAAATAGATGCTTAAAAATTAAAACACACCAATATCAATAGCCCTCGCATTCTTTGGAGAGGTTTGTTGTGTTAACCAAAAGCTCCAATAAGTTGAAGCCAATTTACGATGGGTATCATCATGAAACATTAATTTGATCGTAGTTATGAATTCTCCATCAAATTTATCTTGATCCTGAATGCAAAAACCATAATATTGACCTTTATTGAGGTAGGTCATTGGGGTCTCATCAGTACGTTGAGCAGCAGCAGTTGGAGCCTCAAGGATGATTTCGAATCGTAAATTAGATTGAGAAGGGGGGATGCTGGCGGGTGGAGATGGCATGCTAACGGGAGAAACGGTGTTGCTGTAATTTGAAACTTCCTGATTTAATTGTTGCGCGTGTTCAAGATGAGGAGAATTGTGATAAGTGTTCGCATTTGTCGCAGAGTTGGCTTGATGTTGGTGAATATGATGAGACATGTGATACTCGTTGCCGGTATTTCCTCCATTAAGTGATGAGATCGGAGAAAGCGCCGGTTGTGAGGATACAGGAACGGGACTTACGGAAGGGAGAGTCGTTGAGGGCATTAGACCACCATGATTCATTAGGGGAGGATTTGCGTGAGTATCATGAAGTTCTGATTTATAGGTTGGAGGATGTGGAGGTGGACTGAATTGATCAACGAGCGATTGGTTTTTTATTCGATTGATTGATTGATTGATTTTTTAAAAAAAAATTTGTTAATCAAAGAAGGCAATTCACATGCATATATTTTTTTGGTAAAGTATAAAAGTACTAACAATGTTGTCGGAGAAAATACTTCTGGTTGATATCTGATACTAGATATACACCAGAGAAATAATATAAGGAATAATTCTTGTACATCAATTTTTTTTTGTGTGTATGCTAGGGGAAGGAGGGAGGAAGGGCAAATAGAAAAAATAATAATGATGGAATCACTTTTTTTAAAAAAAATTAGAATTCACACTTACGTATGAGGCGGATATCCTCCTGCTGGACCAAAATGATGAAATCCTCCATAGCTTTGGTGCACGTGTGATGCTACGGGAAGCATAAGGTTACTGGCATATATTTGAGTGAAGGTTAGCATTCGAAAAGTCCGAAAGAACGACGAATAGATTTTATATTATTTACCTATTATCTGGAGCGTATGGCATATTGTTTTTTTTCGTTAAAAGAATTTTTTTTAAGGATAAAAGTTTATTTTTTCTTCGTATACGTATAAGAATATTGTGTGTACACGCTTTTTGATTTCTCGCTTTTACAAGAAGGTTTGGATTGGTTTCATAAAAAAAAGAGGTGAAAAAATCGTGAAAAAATCGTAAAAAAATCGTAAAAATAAAAGAAGAATTTATCAAAGATAATAAATCTTTTCTTGGATTTTTTTTTTTGGTTTTTTTTTTAAATTTTTTTTTTTTTATCGTTTCCTTAGAGGCCGCAGCGTTAAAAAATTTTTTTTTTACGTCGTAAAAAGTCGTCGTAAATATAAAAACGTTACAAAAAGTTTTACGGTTTTGTTTTCAAAGAACAAAGTGATTATATGTTACAAAAACCTCGCACAATAGAGAGAAAAAGGTGGACGGTGCGGGAGGACGTAAAAAAAATTAAAAAAAAAAATGAAGAGCAAAAGAAAAAACACGAAGGAGTGTTTTTTTTTTTTTTTTCAAAAAATTCGCAGCCGGTAGAAAAGCAAGAAAACTCTCCAGATGCTGTTTATTTAATGTTTGTTTGCTGGGCTTTCAAAGACTAAGGAAAATGTCTCAGCCAATAGGCAAAGCAATTTAATGTAAATCTATTTTATCATTCAGTTATTCAGGTAGATGATGATGATTTTTTTTTTTTTTGATGTTTGTTTCTTTTTTAAAGTACAACATAATTTTTTATCTCCCTTACAATAGAGCAAATCTTTTAATGTTCGTTTCACAACTAAGAAAATCTACAAACAAAAAAAATTTTTTTTTATGTTGTCACACTGGATTCGGAAGGGATGGGAAACAAAAACCATTTTTTTGGGGGAATCATATTTTAAATCGCAACTTATTTTTCTTTCAAAATCAAAAAAAAGGAGGATTATTGATCACTTCTTTTTAGATAAGATAGAAAGTATAGAAAGTTAAATATCATATTCGTTGAAAGTTGTATGAAAGAAATGAGATTTGAAAGAAATCAGGATTTCATACAAATGAACTAAAAATAAAATAAAAAATAACAACGCCTCAATTTTTAAGTGTGGCGAATTCAATTTCTTTTTTTAAATGATTTAATTTTTAATACATGAAAACATTGAACGAGAGAATGGTTTGAAAATCACTTGTGCCCACACAAACAAATTTAGTCAATTTAGTCTTTAATATTTCTTTTCGTCTGAGGGGATCAACAGTTTATTGCTGCTGCGGTAAACAATTCAACCTATTTACAATCAACACGAACCTAATTTGGAAATGAAGAGAGAGTAAAAAAAAAACGAAATCGACATGTGCTAAAAAGAAAGTTTTTTTTTCCTGTTCGATTCCTTGTTGAATTATAACTTACATAAATCTGTCAGAAGCTTTATAAAAAAAATAGATTTACACAACACTTATTAGTAACACCACATCTATTGTACTCACATACTCAGTAATAAAGTTTAGGAATGTTGCATCCGGGGCATCAAAAGAAAAAAAAATCAGCTGTAATTCAGAGCCACTCTTTTTTTATGATGATTAATCTTCAAAATAAAACTGCATCTCAACTAAAAAAGAAAAAAAAGCCCAAATCTTTTTTTATATCGGAAAAAGTTATTTGTAGGGTGACCTTTGTGTGACGTGAGCATTTTTTTGGGGGGGAAGCCATTTGGATTCTAAGCCACCTCAATGATCTCAGAGAATTTTTTTTTATCTCCCAATAGACCCTGAATATCGTCAACCATGATATCATCGGAGAAACGGGCTAATCCATTTTTGATTCTATTGAACCTTTTTGTAGAGAGGGTTGTGTTTTCTGTAATCTTTTTGTTGTATGACAATTGTAACCAGCTCCGGCGTGTGAAATAATTCCTTTTACTTTTCACATAATCAGGTGTCGCAATCAAAATGGTCCCGCTTAGCTTTTTAAGCTATTCTCAGAATGCATTTTAGAACGTAAAAAAATTCAAAATTTTTTATCATATTGAAAAATCATGTGAAGTGAACTGATTTCTCGGGATACCCGCTAAGTGACTCAGCTTTTTACCACCCATTATTATCAAAATAAATCTATTCGACTATAATTTTCCTTTTCCCATTTATTATTTCCCGAACCCCACGCCGCGCTATACATTTTTCCATGTGGCTTTCCCATTTTTCTTTAATGGTCCGCGCCAATCGAAAAAAAAGAAATCCTCTTACCAAAAACTGCAACCCACCTTTAAATTTGAATTCATATTAAAAAAAAAAAGTTAAAACTTGAAAATTTTATAATTTTGGATAAATGAAAGATATTTTTGGGCGAATTCATTTTCAATAAATCGTCATTTTGTTGAGCCCATTCCAAAATTTCAAATGATAAATATTATCGTCCCGTATATGGAAGGAAACATCCAAAAATTCTAGCTGTATGAACCAATGAATAACCATGAATAACCTTAAAAAAGTGACTTTTTCCTAAAAAAGATAAAGGATGAATGATGACTATAAAAACCTCATCTTTTTCGGATGTTTGTAATACGTATAACATAATCATTTGGTCAAGAAAAAATTTTGGGATTTATCATTTGGTGATCGGGATCGACAGATCGTCTGATCCGTTCATGGATCAAGATTTTTTTTTTTTAAAAAAAAAGGGTTGTTGCTCTGTTACTGCGTGCGTCAAATGTTTGTTTTTATTTTTATTTATTATTTCAATAAGAGTTAAGAGGTATGAAATTTCCCTTTAAGTAACGATTGATATAAATAATTTTGGGATAAAATTTTAACCTTTTAGAAAATCGCATGTGGCCCGTACCATACTTAATATAATTGTAAAGGTCTTTTTTTTTTTTTTTTTGTTGTGTGAAAATTGTACATTTTTTGACACAGCATGAATTGTCATCAAAAAACAGCTACAAAAAAAACCTGGAATGCGTAATATCGATCCTTGCCAAAAGATTTGACAGCTTTCATTTTTTTTTTATGTAAGATAACGTGTCTGATAAAAAGTTAATAAAACTGCGGTTAAACATAAAATAACATATATGCAATACCCTGTAGAAACTAGATTAAAAATTCATTTCCACACCAACTCGTGGATACACTAAATGCAACAAATTGCATAAAAATAATTACTTTGTCAAAGAAATCATTCAGATAAAGAAGTAAAATTCCGAAATGTCATAAATATTGGAGGTCGTACGAATCAATTTTCTTGCATTTGATTCATTTGATTGGTTAATTTGTACTTGTATTATCATAAACAAAAGATGCAAATGCAAATAGAAGATTAAAAATCTCGAAAGTTTATGTAAAATCGATTTGTCAAAAGACATCAATATCTTTTTCATGTTTCATATATAACTCCGATTTCGAATCTTTTATATTCATTTCTTACTTTTCAAATCCGTTTGGTTTTTTCCGATATAATCACCAAGAGTGAAATAGAAAAAAAATAAAAGGAAAAAAAAAAAAAAAGAATTCGTTCACATCACAATTTACATAAAAAAAAAACAACTAAATAAAAAAAGTTTGATATGACCACTCAAGTAAAAAAGATCTGCTGCCTTGGAGCCGGTTATGTTGGTAAATATCTAAAGGCTTAACTCTATTTAAAGAGTCGGAACTACTACAATGGGTTCATAATCTAACGTTCGCTTTTCAATTCAGGTGGACCAACTTGTGCTGTTATAGCGTATAAATGTCATGATATCGATGTCACCATCGTTGATTTAAATGAAGCTCGTATCGCCGCCTGGAATTCTGACAACCTTCCCATCTACGAGCCAGGTCTTGATAAAATCGTCTTTGAACGTCGTGGAAAAAATTTATTCTTCACTACCCAAGTTGAGCAAGCTGTCATAGAGGCCGATTTAATTTTTGTGTCAGTGAATACCCCAACAAAAAAATCCGGTCTAGGCGCTGGTTTTGCCGCTGACTTGGCGTAAGCATTATTTATATTTGTAAATCATCGGAATTTTGAAATGCTGGAACGTTTAATTTATCGAATAACTAAATGATTTTTCTCGATTTTTAAGTTATGTTGAGTCTGCTACCCGTCAGATTGCCAATGTCGCGAAAAGTTCAAAGATCGTTGTTGAAAAATCTACCGTACCTTGCCGCACCGCGGAAAGTATGCGTACAATCTTGGAAGCAAATAGCAATGAAAATATCCGATTTGATATTTTATCAAATCCCGAATTTCTTGCTGAAGGAACCGCTATTAACGATTTATTGAGCCCTGATCGAGTATTAATCGGAGGTTTACAAACTCCAGAAGGTATAAGAGCTCAGCAAGCTTTAGTTGAAGTTTATGCTCATTGGGTTCCTACAGATCGTATTATTACCACAAACTTATGGTCTTCCGAACTTTCAAAATTGGTAATTATTTTCCTTTCCTTAATTGAATTTAATTTATTTTATTTAAAAAAAAAAAAAAAATAATTAACCTTTCTTTTAAACAAATCGTTTAAGGCGGCCAATGCATTATTAGCTCAACGTATCTCATCGATCAATGCTTTGTCAGCAATTTGTGAAGCAACAGGTGCTGATATTGATGAAGTAGCTTATGCGTGCGGAAGGGATACACGTATTGGACCAAAATTTTTGAAAGCTTCGGTTGGATTCGGTGGCAGTTGCTTTCAAAAAGATATTTTGAATTTGGTATATTTATCAGAACAACTTAATTTACCTGAAGTAGCAGCATATTGGAAACAAGTTGTTGATTTAAATGATTATCAAAAGAAACGTTTTGTTTCTCGTATTATCAAAACACTCTTTAATACCATTACCAATAAGAAAATCGCTGTACTTGGATTTGCCTTTAAGAAAGATACCGGTGATACTCGTGAATCTGCTGCCATTGCATTATGCAAAGATTTTATTCAAGAAAATGCTAAAGTTCGTATTTACGATCCAAAAGTTTCCACTGAGCAAATCTTCATGGATTTAAGTACACCTGGTGTAGATAACCTTGATGCTTGTAAGTGTCCTGTATACTTGAAAAAAAAAAAAAATATCTATCGTTCCTTTTTTAATTTCTTTTTCTCTTTTGTTTATTTGTTCTGTAGTGAAAAAACGAGTCACAATTGCTAAAACTGCTTATGAGGCGTCTGAAGACGCAGATGCTATAGTAATTGCAACCGAATGGGATGAATTCAAGGTTAGTATTCATGGAAAGATTTATCATCGTTTAAAAAATAAATAATTTATTTATTTGTGATATTATAAGGAATTGGATTTCCCAAAAATTTACGAAAAAATGCATAAACCAGCATTTATCTTTGACGGACGTCTTATTCTTGACGCCGAAAATTTACGAAATATTGGATTCCGTGTTCATACGATTGGTCGTGCAGAAATTTAATCTTAATATTATTATTATTTTTAGACGAATATTATTATACATTATTTATTATAACAATTCTTTTTTTTTTTTTCTCTTTTTTTTCTCAGGAGAAGATAGAGACTTTTATTAATAGATTCTAAAAAAGTATTTTTAAATTTTTATTAATTTGACATGGCATAACCCTATAAGGCAGGCTTTATCGTAATTTAGTCAAATGTCATCATTCATCACGTGAATTGTACATTTTTATAAAATTTAAAATTATATTAATTATATATTTCAGCCTTACTTTTCTTCTTATCACTTGGATCAAGATCGATTTCATCTTGTTTCCTTTTAAGTTTTTTGCATTTAATTTTAGGTTGCCCCAAGAGAGCTAGTATATAAATTAATTAATTATTATTACTTTTAAAGGATAATTTCCTGTTATTTAATATGACCCACACCATTACCGTTTCTAAAATATCCGTTCGTTGCATTGGCCTTTTGAAGATAAGATTCTAGACCATAAATCTTGCAAACATCATCATATGATTTTGATTGAGTTAAAGATTTGTATTCAGGTTCTTTTGCACGCTCAGCATACATTTGAACGAGTGTGTATTTTGTATTTGGCCAATTGTTCCCAACGTCAATTGCCTATAAAAAAAAAGGAGAGTAAATAAAAAGTAACATGACACTTTACAAGTTATGCTGATCGTACTAACCTTTTTAATGTATCTTGTTACGACATCCTTTAATAACAACATCCCTTCCTGCCGAAATATTGATACATTACTTTGTGCTGCGCGAGCAATCATAAAAGAGCTAACGTCTATATAAGAATGGCTGTTAAGCCAAATCATAAAGCATAAAAATCAACCAAATTTTTTCGTGTACTCACTTGAGATTTCTTTAAGCTTGATAATATCAGAACGTTGAAATATATCACCGTTGGCAATAATAGGAATAGATGTGATATTTTCCGCAATATATTTAAAGATCTCCCAATGACCTGGTTGCCTCGGACGTTCATCTTTTGTTCTAAATGAATTAAATTTTTAATAAATTGTCGAATTATACTAAATATTGTTTCTAATTAATTTTAATACTCAATACCTGCAATGAATCGCTATGGCCTTAACCCCCGTGGATTCTATCATCTTACACAATTCTAAGGTTTGTTCTTTGGTTTGTAACATTCTATTATTACAGAGATTATAAAATAGATTGAGAAATTTTTTTTTAAAAAAAAGAAAAATAGATAAAATGAATAAACATTTAATACAACATACCTTATTTTACAAGATATGGGAAGGCCAGAATTTTGCACCAAGTTGGTCAATATCTATTGAGTAAATCTTGATTAATTTTGAACCGGTATATCACGTGACAAATAGATTTTTCACTTACAGATTCTAGTTTGTCGGGATTAGATAATAAAGAGACTCCCATACCACCTTGAATTGAAAACTTCTTTGGACATCCACAATTCACATCTATTCCTGACACATCTTGTTTCCTATTTTATGAGGTGAAATTTCCAAAAATTTAATTCATAATATTTGTATTATACAAACCTGTATAGTATGGTTTCGAATGAAAATAAAGTATGGTTCCCTATTTCTATGTAAACTTATTCATAACAAATAGTTCATACTAGTATGAGATCTAATGGTTTTAATAATACACATAAATTCAAAACCATACTATACAGGTATGCTATATGCCCTATATATCTATAAATATTTTTAAAAAAAGGATTTACTTACACTTTTAATGCTGCTTGAAGTGCTAATTCGGGATCAGAAGTTCCAATTTGAAAGATCAACTTCGATTTTTCTACAGGATGAGATCGAAAATTTATCGTTTTCTTATCGTCCACATATGCGATTAACTTTGTTTCTTCTATTAGGCGGTGTTATCCTGAAACGTAAGTTCAAATATGTAGCATTGCCCCTGGCAAAATGAAACGGAACGAACATAATAAATTCTTTTTAGTTGGAAATTCTTGTATTTACCGTCGAAATGTCTCTCTGAGGCAATTATACGCTTGTCCACCATTTCAGGTGAATAAACTAAATCTAATAAAGATAATAGGGGTCATTTCATTAAACGAAAGAAACATTTCAGATTTACTTTTTGATGTGAAAAGTGTTTATCAAATCATTATGTAAATATTTACCTGCTCCGAATTCTAATGCTAATAAGCGCAAAGGTAAAGTTCCTACCCTTACCTAATTAAAGTTTTATTTTTTTTTTATTTTTAGTATGGCAAATATAACAAAACTTTCAAGTCTCAATTAAAAGTCATACCATAGGAGCAAGAATTGTTTTATTTTTATAATCTATAGTGGAATTCATTTTGAAGTAGTAAGGTAGTATATGAAAGAATTTCTTGAAAAAATTTGTCATCCCAACAAAAAAAGCGATCAATTTCAGATCTAGTAAACCTTACCCATAATAACACAAATTATGGAAAAAATAATTTCCGTTGTAATGATATAAAAACCATTACAAAACGTTGAATCATTTTTTTTTAATCGTTTTAATTCAACATTAAAATTTTTGAAATGACGAACCTTGCTAATAATGACACTTTCTCGGAAGTTACTAAGAAGGATCTTGAATGGTCTTTGCCACCAGGTTCTTCCACAGAAACTCAAACATTCTATTTGGCTACCAACGAGGGACATTTTGCTTTTGTCCAAATGATTCATTCGAATATTGGGTAAAATTTAAAGTCTTAATTCGAACAACGACGAATTGCAATTTGTAATTGAAAATTTTCTTATATTATATAGTGTATGGAAACCTACAATCCAATTTACCACTCGTTTCTATGGCGGTGGAATGAATACCTTTAAGTCTGTCAATATGTCCCATTTCAAACTTTCAGGGGACCGCCTATCAGCTGAAGCCGATAATATGTCAATTAAACTCAATCCAGAGTGTAATAAATATAAAGTAACTTTAAAACATGATAAAGATTTATCTATTGATTTTGAATTTGAACGAGTCGATCGTGGGTTCAGAAAGAAAAACGGCGGCAAAACTTATTTTGGTAAAAAAGAATCTGAATATGTTGAACATAAATTTTGGCCAAAGGGAATTGTTAAAGGAAAGATAATGGTTGATGGAAATGAGTTCGATCTCTCTGGAGTTGGATTATTTGTGCACGCTATTCAAGGAATGCGTCCACACTTAATCGCTTCGAGTTGGAATTTCGTTAATTTTCAATCCACTGATGTTTCTCTTTCAATGTGCGAATTTAAGACGACTCCACATTACGGAAGCAAAAAGTCTAATCAGGGAGGTTTAGTTATAAATAACAAGCTGGTGGGAGTTTCCGTTGACAATGTAGCAGAATTCTTGGAAACGAATTTAGATCCCAAAACAAAATATCACATTCCCTCAAAGATCAGATATACTTGGAAAGGTAAAACCCTGGAGGAAAATGAAGATTTCTCAGCTTCTATAGAGATTAAAATTGGCACTCCTATAGATATAATTGATGTTTTGAATGAGATTCCATATGTTTTGAAGAAAATTGTGCAAGGTAAGAAAATTATAGCAGACACAATTACATATAAATTTTTTCATTATTTTTTTTTTTCTAAAACCATTTTTATAAATTTCTAAGCCTTCGTCGCGAAACCTTTTGTTTATCAATGGTTTAATGAAGCCGACGCGCATATCAAAATCGGTGATAAAGAAGAATTAGTCGCTCGAGGGACATTGTTTAGCGAATGTTCTTTTATTTCATAATTTCATTAATATAATATATATACTATATGTTTTGTATAATTTTGTAACTTATTTAGACAAAGCTATTGGTATAATAAGGTAGTCGAAATTAAATTCATTTCTCTAAGATTTCTCTGATCTTATATAAAATGACTAATATTATTAATATAATAGTTTGTAAAATTAAACATTAATTTCGTTTTTTTTAAAAAAAAAAAAATCATTCATTCAAATAATTATCACTATCTTCAAGTGAATCTTTGTTAACCAGATAAAGCAGCTTTAGCATTATCAGCAATACGTTTTGATTCTTGATTTAATTCATTCATAGCATTTGATCTACCAGGTTCATTAGATTGAATCTTTATGTCGGTTGTTGTTAAACTTGATACTCCCA